CGGCAACAAATGTACAAATGTGCTTGACACAATGGATAGGTGGATGGATGGATTGTGATAAGAGTTGTATGAGCCCCCAATAAAATGATTTTTTTTAAAAAGAACCTGGGAGTGGCCATCTCAGGTGCTCCCCATCCAGGAGGAAGGAGAAGGAAAAAAAGCAAAGATGCATGCAGTCAGTCCAGTGAGCTATTAGGACCACATGAACCCCAGTGTCCATCCTGAGACCAGGAGAGTCGGATGGTGCCCAATCACCATGGTCAATTGCTCTGAAAGGAAGCACAATAAGAGGTCCTCGATAGAATGGAAGAAACATGTCTGTCAGAACCCCCAAATAAAAATAAACTTAAGATAGAGACTTGGGTGGAATTTTCAAGAAACCCCCTTGGACACCCTTCAAGCCTGGAATCAAACTCATCCCGAGGGCTGAACTTTCAGCCACATGGTAGACACAGTAGAAGCGCTGTACTGAGACCAGGAGACGTGTGCACAGAGGTCAAGGGGCCCTGTGGCTGAGTAGACTGTGGCAGTGAGAATAGGTTTAGAGTCAAAAGAATGCTGGCATTGGCACAACACGAGCATTGGACAAGTTACAATGTAGGTAAGAAGCATTAACAGACATAAAGAAAAGTATTGGACAAGTTACAACGTAAGCAAGAAGTATTAACAGACATAAAGAAGAGTATTGGACAAGTTACAACATAAGCAAGAAGTATTAACAGACATAAAGAAGAGTATTGGACAAGTTACAACATAAGCAAGAAGTATTAACAGACATAAAGAAGAGGATTAGACAAGTTACTGTAGCCAAGAAGTATTAATCATAAAGACTAGTATTAGACAAGTTACAATGTAAGCAAGAAGCATTAATAGACATAAAGAAGAGTATTAGACAAGTTATAACGTAAGCAATAAGTATTAACAGACATAAAGAAGCGTATTAGACAAGTTACAATGTAGGCAAGAAGTATTAACACATAAAGAAGAGTATTAGACAAGTTACAATGTAGCCAAGAAGTATTAACACACAAAGACTAGTATTAGACAAGTTACAATGTAAGCAAGAAGCATTAACAGACATAAAGAAGAGTATTAGACAAGTTACAATGTAGGCAAGAAGCATTAACAGACCTAAAGCAGCACACTTCCACGTGGCCAAGGGGTCAAGTCTCTAAGGAGATGTCAACGTACAGTTTTAAATCTGTTAGGTGTCTAACAGCATCACTCTGAAGTGTACCTTGACCAAGTGAAAAGGAAAAAGAGCCAAATCCCAAATCACAAGAGAAGATGTTAGCAAACCTCTGCTATTAGCTTGCAATAGCAGGGACAGGTCACTGAGGAGATAGGAGATCTAGAGCAGCACAAGCTTCATCTAATTGACCACCAGGGCACTGAAGCTCACAGAAGACAAATCTTCAAGGACACGAGAACCAGTTTCCAAAAGGGACTGTGGCCTGGATCACAAAACCAGCCTCAGCAAAGACTTCCAAGCATTGAAATGATTCTGGATGCTCTTTCACAATAGTGGGATTAACCTAGAAATCAATAACAAAAGAAAAACAACCGACAATATGAGCAGTTTGAAAATGAAGTTGTACCCTTCTGAACAGCCATGGGTCAAAGATGAAGTGATCATGGGGGTTTTAAAATATTTAGAACCGAATGAAAATCCAAACATGTGGGAGACAGTTAAAGAAATGCTCAGAGACGCCATACAGCTTTAAATGTACATGCTTTTGAAAGGAAAGAATAAAAGGCTGAAAAGCGATTATCTAAGCGTCTATGTAAGAGACTAGAATGGGAACCAAAAATCAAGCCCCAAGGAAACCGAAGGAATGAACAATGGAATGAGCAGGTATCAGTGAACTAGAACACTTTGAGAAGAAGAGGAAATCAGCAAAGCTAATGGGTGTTCTTAAAAAAAAAAGGATGAATAAAACTGGTAAACCTTTAACAAAGCTACCAATGAAAACACCAATTTTC